CACCAATGCGTCGATTCCATACATTTTCTAAGAAGTCCTTAAGGCATTTAAGAGGTAGCAATAATCTTAATACACTCAGCCTTTAATCATCTTGCAGCAAACCTCCTTCCCAAATAGTCATTTGAAGTTGACTATAGATTATATATTGAACTGAGTATATTAAAGCTAGTTCAGGACCCAGTTTTAAATTTATAAAGGATAAATCTTCTATCATCTTATTCACTTTTGTCTTCTAAGCTCTTGTCCTAATCAATTTTGGTTCCTTATTATCCTGGCCATATTTTTTGTAACAAATACAGAAAAATAAAACAATAAGTGATTTTGACACATAAAAAAGATTAAGACAAAATAGCAAGGAAACAAAAAAATTTAAAAAGCCTTCAAGTATTAAAACACTACAATTGAAAAACAATAAAGGAAAATAGAAGAAATATTAGGAGACATCCTTGCTATTCTAAAGGTCTAGGGATCAACCATGAACTAAACTAAGCCAGACCGGGCAAAAAAAACTTCTGAAAAGCTTTAAAAGAAACACAAAGGAACATGGTCCAGACAAATTGAAGTTATGCTTTTTCTAGGAAATCTATGAGTCTGTTTGGCCCAAGGGGTCGGCTTATGATGAGTTTGACATCCTAAACTAACCACTTGTTTTGCCCATGGGCTTCCTACCTTCAACCCCATGTTACACTTTTTTTAATAATAAAAACACAAATTTTCTTTTTTGTTAATATATTATATTTTTATTTATTTTTAATTTTTTAAAATGTCTTCCTTATCCAGGTTTGAAATGTTGCTCGATGGAAATATCAATATCGACAGATATTTCAGTAAGATAAACTTGTAATTTGTGAAAATCAATATAAATTATTTAAATAAGTAAATGAGAGTTTAGTTTTATAATTAGGTTATAATTGACAATTTGTAGCGATCAGAGAATAGTCATGAACAGAAAATTCCCACATTTTCACCGCCTAAATCCTTCACCGATGATGCATATAGGTTTTTGAGATAGGAATAGTCTCTACGTTTTTGCAGGTCTGAGTTCTCTCACAGCATCTCTCTGGATTCTCTCTCTTCCCAATCTCACAATATCAAGCCCTTGGCACGGTTACTCTTATTGTGATACAAAGAGAGAGATTTGTGGGCTTAACTACCCCTCAATTCAAATTCGAATCTTTTTAAATTAGATTTAAATCTTAGATTTAATTAATAATTAATAAATCATATGAAAACATATTGACTTAATTGGTTAACAACAAAAGTAATATTCAAACTTGAGATAGTCAAATATAACAAGCTCATCCAATTAAGTGTTTATAGATGGAAAGATCCTCCAAGAAGTCTTCATCAGAAGCATGAAGTTTCAATCGTGGATACATAGGAATAATGGCTGGTTTACACCCAAGTAATTAACTGGATTCCTCCAAAAGTTCCAAAGTATAATGGCATTGCGAAACACAAATACGTGTAGAAGAATGAGCAAGCTTAAGACCAAGAAAATACTTGAGAGGGCCCAAATCCTTAAGACGAAAATGTTGATTGAGCATAACCTTCAAGTGCTCAATGCTAGCAAGATTAGCTTCCGTAATAATAATGTCATTAACATAGACAATAAGGGCAATAAAATAACTCCCGATCCCACAAATTAAAAGGGAATAATCAGACTTAAACTACTGAAAACTATGAGAGAACAAGACATCTGAAAACTTCGCAAACCACTAATTTGAAGCTTGTTTAAAACCATATATGGACGTATGTAAGTGACACATAAGATGCTTCCTTTAATATTAAAAGGAGGTAGAAAGTTGATAGCCCAAAGGAAATCCATATATACTTCTTCAAGCAAATCTCCATGAATAAATGCGTTATTAACATCAAACTGAATGAGAGGCCAATTATGGGAAACAACAAGAGTTAATAAAACACGAACAATAACAAAGCTCAACAAGAGGCGAAAAAAGTTTCAAGAAAATTCAAACCCTATTGTTGAGTAAATTCCTTAGCAATGAGTCGAGCCTAATAATGCTCGGAAGAACCATCGGCCAGATGTTTAACCTTATAAATCCACTTGCACCCAATAAAATGTTCCTCAATTGGAAGAGAAACAATAGACCAAGTTTGATTCTATTCGATAGTAGGTAATTCAGCATGCATAACATTCTTTCAATGGTAAAACTTAACAGCTTGATGATAAAAAGTGGGCTCAAAATGAGCGGAGACAACCATAGAGAAAACCTTATGAGAAGGAGAAAAGCTCGTAAGAAACAAAACTTTGAAAGAGATATCAAGAAGAAAAACTAGACAAAGGTGAATTGGTGGTATGATTGCAATGAGAGTTTTGCAAATATGAAGGTGGGCAAAAATAAAACCAGAGAGCTTAGAGGAGATTAAGGAAAAATATCAAAAGTAGGGACAAGAGATGATAAAACATTAGAAGGCATAAGAGATGAAAAAAGATCAGGGAAGAGAAAGTAGCATCGTCCAAAACAGAAGCAGCAGTATTAATAACAATAGGGGAAGATGGAGAATCAATGAATGAAGGAGAATTTTCAATATTAAAGGGCTATGGAAGAGAAAAGCCCATAAGAAAATCATTGAAATCAGTTTCAATTGTCAACTTATGAAATGGAAGCGCAAATTCATGAAAAACAACATCCCTAAGATAAGAAATTATTTTCAATATCAAACAACTTATAGGCTTTTCATTCTAGGTGGATAACCAACAAAAATAGCAAGTATGACTTGAGAATCAAATTTATATCTATGATGAGGAAGTGAAGAGGCAAAACATAAACACCCAAACACTCAAATTGAAGAATAATCAGCCGGAGAATTATGTAATAAAGCATAAGGATTAGACTAATGTAAAACACGAGAAGGCGTGCAATTAACGAAAAAAAGAGCAATAAGAATAGATTCTCCCCAAAATTGGAGGAGGACATGCAACTAAGAATGTAAGACTCAAGCAACATTGAGAATATTTTGGTGTTTACGCTCAACCATAGAATTCAATTAAGGTTTCTCAACATAAGAGAACCGACGCAAAACACATTTGGAATGAAAAAAATCATCAAAACGAAGTTCGGGTGCATTATTATACCAAAATACTTAATAACCTTGTTGTACTGGGTTTCACATACTTAAAAAAATTGAGGAATAACATAAATAACATTTGATTTATGCCGAAGAAGACAAATCCATGCATAGTGCAATTATCAACAATAGTGAGAAGGTATGTATATTCGACATTTCAGGCTTAAAAAATGGTCCCAAACAGCAGCATGAAAGGTTTCAAAAGCATTGGTAAAAAAATTGTTATTTGAGATAAAAGCAAGCCTGATTTATTTCGCAAGAGGACAAACAACATAAGGTCATCACAAACATACTTAGATGAATCAAAACATAAAATCTCCTTAAGAGAGTAAACAAATGACGACATGATAAGCAACCAAACCTATGATGCTATAAGGAAATAAGTGTCTTATGAACATAAGAACAAACAAGAGATTCTCTAATTTTTTTTCACTCGCTTCCTCTCACTTCTTATTCTTTTGAATGCCATACAACCTGTAATTCCAAACTTTGAAATGGATCCAACCTCTCTCCTTCCAAATCCTACAATTATTCCAGCCAATGATCGCTCTTCAACTTTGTTGAGTTAAAATCCAACTTCTTTTCTTCACAATTCAAAGGAATAATCTCTCAATCCATCTTTCTTGCATCACAATGATAGTACCAATTTGGTACTCATTACTGAGTTACTCATTGATGCAAATTACACTTTATGGAGTAAATTTATGATAATTCCTCTCTCGGTGAAGAACAAGCTTGAATTTATTGACAATTCCATCACACGCCCTACCAACGAATTACTCTCTATGTGGATTCGAAACAACAGTGTAAGGATAGCTTCGATTCTTAATTTTATCTTAAATTACTTTCTTAATTTTTGGCTAAACAATAAGATATATGCATCAGTGTTGTATCGAGCCTTACAGACTCTGATGCCTAAATATGATGAGTTTTGTTGAGCATAGCAAGAGTAAAGTTGCGAAAACATGCCTCATGTCCATGCTCCATGCCTCTCCTATTTATAAAGGGAGTCTCATTGGGAATTTTGGTGGACCGACTCGATAAAGTCAAGTTGAGTGGTTCGACTTGTAAACTTAGCACACTCATAATATATTATATTTAAACAAAATACAAACTTGAAGTATTTCCTTTTAAAAATATTCTATCAATAATCTTTTGTAACATGAATTGCATTTAATCTAACACTTTTCCCATCAACAAAAAATTCTCAAAAAAGAAAAAGAAAAAGAATGTGCACATAGTACTACTCGAGAAAGAGGATTCTAAAATAGACT